CTAGTATATCCACTCTTTAGAGTGTCCACTGTGCTTGATGTAATTATTGTTTGCTGTTTCGCTTCTATTTTTGTGTAGTTATCTACCGGTCTCAGTGATATTTATGATCTTTTCGTGTCACTTAGCTTGATATATTCTGTTTTCACAGAATCGCATTTGTTTTCATACTTACTCCTTTTTTTCCCTTCATTTTTTTCCTTCCGATTTGGTGTTGTTGTTTCTTTTAGAGCCCGAGGCTTTATGGCTTCCACGGAATTTTTTGGTCTTTGCTTAACTTTTGTTTTGCCGGTTCTTTATGACTCTCTGACCGCCCAAACCGCCCCGCTGATCAGTTTTTGGCCCTTTCGCCCCCTTCGCCCCTCCTTCCATCCAGAGTCTCTCTGTACATTTCATTTGCAATTTACTTTTTGCCCTCTGGCCAAGTTTCCAACGTCGGTGGTTTTTCCCGCACAGTGCTCGTCATCAATCTCCTGCCCTCCGCCGCCTCCGTTTCCGATCTCTCCGAGCTCCGAGCTCCGTACTCCTCGATGCTCCGATGTTCCATGGATATAGCTCTTCGCCTTTGGCCATGCTCCAGTTTTTGTGCCATTTCCCAATTGCTTTCTGTGCGGTTTTCCCCATTGTTGTTGTTGTTGCATTGAGAGGAGAGAGGATGTTGGAAACTGGATGCTTTTACCAAATCCTAGGCGTGATTTGCCGTTTAATTGTGCAGCAAGTTGCCAAAAACGCAATGAGTGAGAAATGGATATTTGGATATGTGTGACCCCCTTTTTGGGGGGCGCCCCTGAGTTCCTTTCACCCTTTTCACCCCTGCCATAATGGATGCTCTCGTTTCGGTTTTTTTTTTCTTCTTTTTTTTCGGTTTGGTTCTCATGTCCTGGCTGCTGAGTCCTGAATCCTGCCAGTCAGTTTAGACACGAGAATCGTTTTTGGCGGCATGCGTGATGTCCCTTTTGGGTAGCCGCCTCCCTTTCCTAATGACTCTTTTATCGGCACTGCCAGAAATAGTTTATTTATTCCCCACAGTAATGGGCTAGCCGATTACTTTCCTTCGCAAGTAATTAAAATGTAAAAGAATAAAAATTAATTGATTAATCTAACACATATATTTAAAAAAACTGCTTGCACTGCTTGAATTCCATTATTTGCTCATAACTTTTTAGTGCATAGTCCGATTTGAAAAATTTCTTCTACATTATGATAGGTATTAATAAACTCAACACAATTGCATTTATAATTTTTCGAAATCTTTCGTTTACCGTTCATCTACAGAAATGAAATTCTTATCATAGGAAACTGTATGTTAAATATGAAGCTAGGTAATTTCCCATTAATTAAATTAATGATTAACTGACTGACTGATAGGAATGTTCCTTTTCCCTTTCTGTCAGTGGATGCTCATCAATAAGGCAACAAACTTACAAAACGTCAAAAGGACCGACTTTAACAGGACGGACATTGGTTTGCACTTTGGCAAAAAAAAAGAGAGGGGTGAAAAAAGAGGGAAAGGAAATTGAGCGGTAGTAAGGATACCATTCCATGGGATAGGGTAGGATCTCTCTGGTCGCTCCATTTGATTCACCTTTTGCCTTCGCTGGGACGTGCGCAAATCAGTTGCAGGAAAATCTATCAAAATTCCGCAAATAACTGCACGTGTCCTGTATCCTGTCGCCCTGTCTTCCTGTCGCATGTCCTGGAAAGTTACTTCGTTTCAATCAGGCATATTGGTTGTACATATCTCGTCGTCTCTTCTAACCCCAAACCATCTTAAAAGCATCTATCTTCGCCTTGGCACATCCTCTGTTTCCCGATTTCCCATTTGCCTCTTTTCATCTTGAGTCCTGGAGGCAGGACACTCGGTTGGCTTCTCCTGAGCTGCTGAACTGCTTGCATTTGATTAAGTGCTGGACGTCGTGTTTAGTGCGATATATGTATATAGAAGATATAGAAGAAGCCGGTGAGCCATCAAACCATCAGCATCACCAGGAGCAATGGCAATAGCTAAGGCAAAAGCAAAAGCAGAACATGTGAACTTTCTCATTTGAGCTAATGATCCGTGTAATCTGCTTGAGTTTTCCCGCTCTGTCCCGCTCTTATTGAGCAATGTGTGCACTGAAACAAAAAACAAAGTATTTTGTAAAATTTAAAGTTTGTATTAAAATATTTTTTTTTAATTATTGGGTTAACCTATATAGAAATCAGTTCCTAGTAAAAACCTACTCTATAATAAGAATATTTGGCAAAAATATAAAAGTTATAGCTTTACTGGTTTGGCCAATTTGATTGACTTCTACAATTTTAACGTTAGTTTTATATATAAATAGGTGAATTAAAAAATAATTTTTTTCATCAGGTTATATTATTAATTTTTGTATTAAAATATTAAAACTAAATGGTAATGAGTTAATTAACTAGGTTTTTCCGAGTGCATGTAAAATTGAATGCTGGGTTGCCTGCTGGGAAAAGCTTCGCATAATTGGCATAAGTTTGCACTTAAGTCAGACTCAAAGGCAACAACACACATACGCACACGCACACTGGCACACACACACATTCACCTGGAATGTGTGCATACATAAGTATTTCCTCACCTGTCCTCCAATCCATCCGCCAACCACCATCCATCGATGTTGCGTTCTTCTCACGGTAGATTTAACACACGACGGAGCGTTCAATAAATGTCAGCAATTAAAAAGGCGAAATAAATGTTGTACCACCGCCTTCACAAGTGTGTGTGTGTGTGTGTGTGTGTGAATGGGCGGGAGGGGGCGTGGCTAGGATGGAAAATTACGTGGTAAACAGGTGTAATATTTAAATGTCAGGAATGCCGTGAAATCGGAGTGAAGCCCAAATGGGAATTAAGGAAAAACAAAGGAAAATCTAGAACTACATTCTTGTGAATCGGATTTTGATTTCTAAATAAATAATTCCGAGTAAAATTAAAGCAAATTAAAACATACAAGATATCACTTTATTTCACCCAAATGACACATTCCTAAATGGCTGCCAATTTCTGGTCCAAAACGCCTAAAGTAAATCTTTTCCTCTGCCCGAGATTGATTCATTTTGGTTTTTGGAGGAATGGAAAGCATTGTTTTGGTCTGTGGTCCTCCGCCTTTCACATGATTGATGATGAGAACCCCCCGCAATCTCACCCATTCAGCGCAGCGTCCTGCGCAAATTGGCAGGATAATCGTGTTGAAATGGTGTCCTTTCGGAATGCAGATTGGCATTTGGCAATGCGAAATTGCTAAAATCCCAAAAATACTGTCGCATTAGGCTTGAGGTGAACCAAAAGTATTTTCATTCCGAGTGCATATATATGTATGTACTTGTGCCTTTCTCCATCCAAATATCAATTTCAATTGTGCGGCCAAAGAGAATAGATATGCAGATGCAATTACCAATTACCGCGCTTGATTTGCCTGATGCGTGTAGTTATTTCAACTGCCAGACACTGAGGGAAAATTGCGCTTATTTTAAGTGCATTTTGTGTATTTATGAGGAAAGTATTAGGAATATTGTAAGTACATTTTGTGTATTTATCGAAAGAAAAATGTTTTTCCTTCTTACAAACCAAGTGTGTTGAAAGTAAAACAGATTTGTGAAAACAAGAGAAAATGTTTATAAGGTTTAACTATTTCATTGTTCATCTTGAATCGCAAAATAGAGAAATAAACTATGATGAGGTATTATCTTTGCTTTGTTTACCTTACTACCCTGAAAGTCCCAGATATGATGCTTAATCGTTTCTCTCTGTGCCAAAGTACATACACGAATTTGTGTTTTACTTATCGCAGGACAGTATCGCAGGTCTGCTAACAAGATTGAATGACAGGATATATGTCGGGATATATGTGCTGATATACCACATACATGTGCGGCGACAACAATTGAACATGTTTCATTAAATGGCCAAATTTTGGGGGGTGGAGAGGAACGTGCTGCGATGTCTTCACCTAATTAGCATTGAAGGCGGGCAAAAATGCAAGCAATAAGCAGAAAACAGAAAACAGGCCTCGAAAACTGGGTGTCCTTAATTGAAGTGCCACAGGATTAGGATCATCCAAAAGCATCCCGAAAACACCCGAAAAAGGGATGATGGCACGTGCTAACCAGAGGGAATCCGAATCAGAATCAGAATCGGAATAAGTCGACAAGTTTTTGTGCTTGGGTGGCGCATTCTTTAATTTAAATGCCAGCCATCTTCACGTTTATCAGATTATTTGCGACAAACACTCGAGTGTGTATATGTGTGTGTGCTTATGAGGACGTAAATGTGTGGCCTGTGATTAGCAGGATAATGAGGAGGTTTCGCCAACTGACCCGGGAAACCGATCTTCCAGCTGGCTGGGCATTCCCACAGTTTGGTTTTATGGAATTCTTTAGTTTTATGTGACACTCTTAAATGTTTTATATTAAAAATGAGTAATTGGATTTATTCGCAGAATATTTTCTGACATTATTAAGAAAGTTATTGAGAAATAAATAATAATAAAACATAGGATAATTGAGAAATTTATATAATTCCATTCCCACAGTTTTGTTTTATGGATTTCATTAGTTTTATGTGCTACTCTTGAATGTTTTATATTATAAATAAGTAAGTTAATTTATCCGCAGATAATTCAAACTTATATTGGAGGATTTTTTAAGTTATCAAAAAAGTTATTGAGAAATAAATCAAAAAACTTGAGATATTTACAAGAAAAATCAAAAGGTTTTCTTATTAATGTTTTCTTAATCTGTAGGTATATATTTTCCAATTTTAGTTAATAGTTTTTCATATTCTTTTATTGCCAATGAAGTGTTTATGGGGTATTTGTGAGTTCGGTTGGCCAGGAAATTACCTTTCCTTGTGCTAACCTGAAGCTGTTGACTCAATTACACGGCGTTTGCCATGCAATTTGCGCCCCCCAAAAACACTCACATCGCACTCACCTCGCAATTTTCATTTTAATTTTGGCCAGGTTTTCATGAAAATATTTTTGCATTTGCAGCATCCGGCGCGACAGGCTGTCTCACTTCCACATCCGCATTCGCATTCGCCAAAAAAAGGAAGGCTCGTAAAAGGGCGCGCTACAACAATAAGAACATTTTATGACGGTCACATAATAACATTGGAAAACCCAGGGAAAGCGAGGAAAAGCAGGGAAAACCCAGGGAAGAAAAGGGGATGCAAATTACGTGGCACATGAAGCGTCAAAGCGTTTGATTTGATTGTCAGCGCCAGAGAAGCGAAGCGTTTACACCTCCAACACATTGCTCTTGAGCCGATTGATTGACTGACTGACTGACTGATTGATTGATTGACAGATTGGCCAGATTGGTCGGAGGTCAGGCGAGTCGAGTCACGAGCACAATGAACAAGAAGTCGCCACTGCCGCTGGCGGCTTTTCTCGGCAGCGATGGCAGCGGCGGCAGCGGAGGAAACTGTGCCGCCAGCGGCAGCAGCAATGTTGCAGCCACAGCAGCAGCGGCAGCGGCAGCAGCCAACGGTTCCGGCGGACGCGTCGGCGGTCGGCAAACCTCATCGGCGGGCGGATCGTCGGTCGGCGGCGGCTCCAAGTCGGACAAACGCGAGGCGGGCGGCGGGGGCGGCAGTCTGTGCGGCTGCCAAAAGGCCCCCAAGTCGCACTGCATATCAGCAACAGGTGAGAAGAAATCCTTACAAATTATTAAGTTTGCCTTGTTCAAATTGATTTGTCCAAACTAAGACTGCAAAACCGCAAAAAAATGTTTATTTTTGTCTTAAATTCTATTCCATGTTTCCCACCCTAAAAAGTCAGTATTTTGGCCATAACAATGAAAATAGTGATCCAAATATGGATTGCCATACCTTTCTGAAGTCGTTGTTATTTCCTAACGACTGGCATTTAAAACTTGACATTTTATTTATTTTTAATTTTTCGCAAAAAATCATGGGGTACCCCCTTATAAAAAATTGAAAATTTGTCAAAATTTTATTTTTGTAAGATCACCCGGAAAGTGTCATGGATTTATTTCTTATTTTGTTATCTGTTCAAAACAGTAAGTATTTTTGGTGTAGGACCATTTTTGGCCAAGTTACAGCAAAAAAACCAAAAGAAAAAAATCAAATTTTTGTCAAAAACTGAAATCCCGAATTTCCAAAAAAAAAAAAAACGGGTTTTTTCGCTAAAACAAGGCAAATACTGATTTTAAGTATGGATTGTCATACCTTTCTGAACTCGTTATTAAATTTCCTAACGATTGGCATTTAAACCTTGACATTTTATTTATTTTTAATTTTTCGCAAAAAATTATGGGGTACCCCCTTATAAAAAAATTAAAAATTGGCGAAAATTTTATTTTTCCAAAATTACACGGAAAGTTTTATGGATTTATAGCAAATTTTGTTATCTGTTCAAAACAGTATGAATTTTTGGTGTAGGACCATTACAGCAAAAAAACCAAAAGAAAAAATTCATATTTTTACCAAAAACCCAAATCCTAATTTTCAGCAAAAAAATAATTTTTTCTTTAAATTTATTTTAGTTTTTTATTTTAATACAAATTTAACAAAAAAAGTATGCAACATTGAATCGTTGGCTCAGAAAACAGTGCGTATGAGCAATATAACATTATACATTACTCATACGCCCTGTTGCTTACTAATTTCAACTAATTTTGCTGGTTATAAACATACATTTAATTTTGGTAATTTCTTCTAATGTTATATTGCAAATTTAAGAGTGCACTGTAAATTGTTTTCAAAAGCATTTTGTGTAAATTTAGCACAATGGGCAATATGTTTAAATGTTTATTGTTACCTATAAGCATTTATAAAAATATATTGGTAAGTACCATTTAATTAACCCACTTTCTGACTTATCCGTAGGCGTGCTTCTGTTGGTGCTGCTCTACACCGCCATGGGCTCCATTGTCTTCGTGACCCTCGAGGGGGAACTGGAGGATGGGGGCACCCTGGAAACCGCTGTGGCAGCCTCTAAGCCCTATCCCCGCACCGAAATAGCCAACGCCGATATACGATCCAGGTAATATATGCACTTTGAAAAGAAGCAATTAATTTTATAGCCACAGGAGGTGCTTGTAAGCTAAATTACCTGGTTCCTTTTTAATTTGCATTTGAAATTCGGGATTTTTTCTTGTTACCCTTATAACAATAAAATATCTAAAACACTAAACCGAAATTCGAAAATAGTTCCTACTATAATTTATAATTAATACAATATTATATAATAAATAATCTAAGTAGATATATTTTTATTGCTTATTTAACAGATCAATTAATTATTATTTTCTCCCTTAGGACGGTGGATCGCCTGTGGATGATAACGGAGGACCTGAATATTTTGTACAAGGAGAACTGGACCCGCCTCGCCGCCCAAGAGGTGCAACTGTTCCAGGTGAGCACCTCGAATGTCCAGAGTCCCGAATGGGACACGGCATCTTGGCCCTGATTTGGGAACGCTAATTGAGCGCTTCCTTGGCTTTCATTTCGCAGGACACTTTGCTGCGGGCGGTGCGCCAGTCGAAGGTTTATCCCCCCGGCGGCATCCAGCTGAATGCACCGACACACAAATGGACCTACGCCTCGGCCTTTCTCTACTCCCTGACATTAATTACGACGATAGGTGAGTGAGAAGTGCCAGTGGACACCCCCCTTCCACCCCCTGCCATCACTGAATGTCGAGCCCATCGCTCATACGCCCCGTTTGCCTCCCCAAACCCAATTCCTTTGTTCGGTTCGCTCCTTCGATTCTCTGGGCAATTTATTAGCCCGGTCATCTGACGTTTGCCATCCGAGCCTGCCAAGTGCATGAACCCAGTCACGTGTGCGTGTGTGCGTGAGACGTTGAGTGACCGCCCCGGAGCATCCATCTACCCACCACCCATTTGTTCAGCCCACCACCCCATGAACGACTGCTGTTTTTAATTAACAAACTGTCAACCGGCAGCATCGATTTCGTTCGCTCTTCCCGGCCTGGCCACATATTTTTTTCAATTTACCCGAATGCGTCTGCCTGCCCTTTTTTTTTTTTTACTTTTGCTCCTTCCTGTCTGATTTCAATTAGTTATAAGTAAGCCGGGGGCTAAGCAGTCGAGTGTCCTGCTGCCACGCCCCAAAAAAAAAAAAAAGAAGCAGAAAACCCTAAAAGAATGTAAAGATGCATGTTTAACATGCCAGGCGCACACACAAAAAATCGCATGTAAATTGGTGCAAAAATAAATTGAGAGGTCAAATATTAATTGGAAAAATAATTTGAAAAGGCCAACAAGAGGCCAACACTTTCATTTCCGGCCTCATCATTTATTTGGCTTTAAAATAGAGAATTATAAATTTGTGGTTTCCTTTAATTGGAAAAATAATAGTAACTTTTAGTTACGACAAATAAAGAAGTAATGGTTACATAAAAAAAAAACTTGATATTAAACTTTGATCAATTTGATATTATCTTGTATCAAAATTGTCCTAATATGCGACATGCTTCTTTTCTTCGAATTCAAAGAATTTCCGAGAGAAAGAAATTACCAAAATAACTTTACTTAATTGCCATTTTACTACCATATGCGTAAAAATATCATAAATTTACCATGCGCATATCGATTTGTCCCCAGCGTTCTTTTTTTGTGTGTAGAATTTAAAATATTACTTGAAAATCTTTAGGCTGTTATGATTTTTGCGTTCGGGAAAAGGGCTTCAAAATGTCAGGACCTCTGCCCAGGACTTCTGTCAGCTCTTAAGAATAACGGTCACGTACGACTGACTTTGCCCCCACGGAGGAGGGTATCAACTGTCGGATTTGTCTTGGCATATTCAATTCACTGGGCAGCGCCGAGTTGAAAATTGTTTAAAAAATAAAACCAGACACGCGTTGTGTGGTGCTGCTGACCCAGAGAAATGAAACGAAATCAAATGAAATGGGTAGTGCAGGAAATTTGGCGTGTGGTTTGAACACAAAAGCGCTCACAATAAACGCGCCCGTTAAATCAATCGAATTTGTAGCAATCAGCAGCAGAAACACCCATCTACCATCTACCGTCCACACAGAATCCGCTCCCCCGCATTATGTGAATTGAGTTTGGAATCAAAACTCAATTTTAGACAGCCGCCGGAGGGGAAAACGGGAAAAGGAGTGGAGTGCTGCCGCCGGGAAAGCTATCAAAAATCTGTCTAAATATCGCCAAAACCAGCCATGTAGCTCTCTCTCGCTCTCTGCGAAACGCTGCCAGTCACGACTGTATGGCGGGTGTCATTGAAATTATTTTGACATCATGTAGTTAAAGGGGGGAAAAGCGGTAAATCGGGTTCGGGTAAATGTGGAGTAGACAAGCAGCAGGGCAACCTGCGGTTGGCAGTTGGGTAAACCAAACAACAGCGGCAGAAATACGATGGGAATATATAGGATGAGCAGCAGCAGGAGCAGGACATTGGGAGATAGGATAGTGGGAGATCTATTCCGCAGGATTTGGGGGAAAGGATAATTGCAAGCCCTTCGTTTGCCCCGAAATTTATAGGACAAGTTGTGGTGGGTGCCGTCGTCGTGTCTCCTTGAAATTTCATGTAATTAAAGCCTTTGATTGAAATGCCATTTTGCCCCTGACAGTATTTCCATTTGCTAAAGGGTTTTCTTGTTGGGCTTAATTAATTTAGCCATTAATTTGAGGAGCTTACTGATTTCCTGCTAAAAATCTAATAGTTTTAACTCAGTCATGCATCATTGGTGATTTATCATGTCTTTATTTGTAATAATAAGAAAGAATTACTATTTTGGTCTAAATAATTTTTATTATTATTCATTTTAGCTTCATTTGTTTTGAAATATTAAGAAAACATTAGTATTTTGGCCTTCATAAAAATCGTATAATATTTTAATTTTTTCTACTATTTAATTAATATTTTAATTCAAATTAAGGCAGGAATATTTCTATTTTGTATATTATAACTTAATAATCCACCTTTAAACTGAACCCATCAAACAGCTATAAAATCTCACTTAGTCGGGAAATATAGAAACATTTCCTAATAATTTTGCTTACTTTTTTTGCTTTTTACCAAACTACAAAGTACTTAAGTCCGTTTTGATGCGATTGCAATTACTTACACGGAGGTCGTACTTTAAATATCTGTCAGCTCTCGAGACAACTTGGCCTGATGGCACATCAATCAATTATGAAACAATTTGTCCCCAAATTGCTAAGTGGGAAGTTTCGATTGTTTCCAGCTAATGTGTGTTCTATAAATAAGCAAAGTGCCAAAAAGTGAAGAGTGGGGGTTTGGGTAAATGTGAAAGTCTGGAAATCGTTAAATCTGAAAATCGGAAAATCCCTGCCAGACCATCAAGTCACCTTGGAGTTGGGCCAAAAAGTTGGCCCGGCAATTGCTTTGGGGTTTTGCAGGAGGGTCGACGACGACGAAACGATCGTCATGAGATTAAGTCGGCAGAGACAAGAGCATTATGCAAAATTCCCATCGATTATCTGGCTAAAGCCCTGCCAGTTCACTTGGCTCATTATTCAATAATGAAGATATTTGGCTGTCATTTTGGCTGCTTGAGGTTGGTTATTTGCTTGGTTATGGCCCACCTGTCTCTAACTGGAAGTTGTTCAATTAAAATTCACCGAAAATTGGCCATGACGCTTACACAGAAAAAAATTCGGTACAAAATAGGGTAATTTCTACCTTATTTTATGTCAATAAAAATAAAATAATATGATTGATGTCAAATTTATGATTTGAACGTATCAACTTGATATTTTATCATTTCATAAATGTTATTAAAATACTGTTTTTAAATTCCAAATGTCGTATTTTTTGAACAAATATTGTTAAATCTAGTCTTCATAACATTTTGATATGCACATATCAATCTGATCTTTTGTCAATTTTTTTCTGTGTATGTGTGTGTGTGTGCTTAGCTCGTAAAACGAATTTCATTGCCTACTTTTGGGGGCTAATGGCGTCCTCAAAATCCCATCCGTTGATATATGGCTACCATTTGCATTTCGTTTCGTTGAATTTCCTTAACTACACTGCTTTATCTATTGACACAATCATCCAGTGGCTGATTGTCTATTACCAGGGCATAATTAATATTACACATACGCCCCCCATTTCTGCGGTAATAAAATTAACACTTGTGCTCATAAATATAAAACATTGAACTAATAAATACCACACACACGCACACACTCCATTGAGTTGTGATTTATGCGTTGGTTTTGTTGCCTTTTTTTCGCTTTGCCATTTTCCTGACAGCTGCGATTCAATTTGGCCAACTGCAGTGAGCCACCGCAGAATCCACTTTTAGCCAACTAACTGCGGAAAAGTTGTTAGTTTTTTTTCTAGTTTTATGCTAGTTTTTAGGGCGTGGCATGTCATTAGGGCGGAGAGCGGTTGGTTCGCTTTATTGTTAATTGGATTTGTCGCCGAAGCACAATGAGAACTTTTTCATTTTGCAACTCTTAATTGAGTCGGAAGCGCAGGGATATGAACAGTGGTTAGGGTCAAAGAAAAAGGATACTATATACATCCTGGAAAATCGCAATCACTGCAATCAATAAGTGAATGCAAACACATAAATCTCGGGGAAATAAATGGGGGATACCCAAAGCACCACACTAAAAAAAATCTTGACATAAAACGATGATCGATTTGATATTATGTGGTAAAAATTTGGAATTCGATATGCTCGAAATGTAAGTCAGATAGTCTCCGAAAGAGAGAGTCCATTTCAGTAACTTACCATGCGCATATCGATTTTACATGTTTTTTTAAGTGCACCCACCCACTTTGACCTTCTTCTTCTTCGCGCTCTTCCGTTGACCTTCAACTCTGCCAGACCATAAACTATTACTATATCCGTGTAATGGCTTCTGCGTCTGCCACTTCCGGTTGCCATTTTGAATTACAAATGGCTGTGCAATGCGGAGAAAGAATCGTTCGACTGAATCGCCATTTATATCTGTATGTTTCGTGTTTGCCATTCGACGACCACCCATTTGCATGACCAGCTTGGTGTTGTTAACTTTATTAAACACTCTTGCAAACTGCATTATGCTTACACGATTTTGTAGCACTCCCCAAAAAATACGATATATATATAGAAAAATTCCCTCACCACAAACACTTTCGCTTCTCTTCGCCATGATAGATGACACGTCCTCTGTTGTATTATTATTATTACATAATTTGTATGCCCTGAATTGTGTTTCGCCGTTTTGGGTCGGCAACTATAATCATTTGCCACACGTGCCGGCCAACGGGAAAAAATATAACTATGGGCTCAGTGTTGGCCCAAATGGAGTGACTAATTTGACAGGACTTTTCTTGATTTTCCCTGACTTTTATGTATAACAATTTCACTGAGCTTAACTAATTATGAAGAGGTACAATGAAAAAAAAGGAGACCGCTATAGTCGATAACCTTAGCTAAAGGAAGTGAGAGGGAGATGGTGATATGTGTGCAGCAAAGCTTGCACTGCTTGAATTCCATATTTGGCAAATATTATTTGCTCATAACTCTTTAATAAATCGTCCGATTTAAAAAATTTCTTCTACATTTCGATAGTTTTTAATAAACACAACAAAATTACATTTGCACTTTTTCGAATTCGTTAAAGATATACATTT